TCCATATTCAGACCCTGTTCTCCAAAATCACAGCAAGCAAAGCAAGAGATAGCGCTTTATGTGCCATATCATGCATGCAATGCCAGCTCCACCACTCTAAATGCTTCATATACATAAACATGTCACGCGTCATGCATTGGGCATGCAATGCATGCAAGAGGGAAGGAAAAGCACAAGCAACCTATGGCTCCCGCGATTAGAAGACTTGGCGCTGGCGGGATTGTTTCGGTTTTACTGGCGGATAAACCCACGTAACTAGTCAGAGAGAGTTATTGCGCAGCCAATGGTGTGGTGATACTATGTGGCATTGAAGTGGGAATCAGATGAGAGAGGAGAAGCGTGGTGGGCAATTGGTAGGAGGGTACCCTGTGCCAGGGAGTGTGACACCTGAGCCCAACCCCTGAACTACATCTATTAACGTACGGCGGGTGATAGGTTGTGTTGAAACATCGTAGGAAGAAGCATCGTCTTCTTACGGAAAGCAAAGAAACAAAGACAAGCAAATCTTCTGTAAAATAAAGTATCCTACTACACTCACAATCAACAGCAAAATCCACATCCGCCTGGAAATTATACACCTCGTTTGCGCTTCTGAAATTACATAGGAACGAAACAGAATAATCCTGGAAGAGTAGAGGGGAATAAACTCGCTATGGAAACGTCGAAATACAAAAAAACTTTGGGGGGGGGGGGGGGAGAAAAATAGAGGTAAAAATCAAACAAGAAAGCGCACAACCGCCTCTCCATAAAAGTACAAGAAAAGAGGTCTAAAAGAAAGGGAATAAAAATAAAGTCTCTCTCCCATACATCTCAGCAGAACCGCCCCCACAAGAAGCAGGTGGAAACACGTAAGGATAGCGTAACAGAACAAAAAAGAAAAGAGAGAGAGAGAGAGAGAAAGTGACAAGAACCGAACCGGGAAACAGATGGCGCCATCCAAATGCAGGATCATACAGACAAAACAACAATGGTATATTCCAGAAAGAAGAAAAAAAAGTTGACATGCAGACATATATCCCATCAAGAAAAGAAATAAAAAAGTAGAAACCATGTCGCTAAGAAACCACAAGAGTAGAAATGATCATCATGTTTGGAAACTCCTCTCGCAACATTTCTCTATCTCCTTTTTTTGGTTTCCTAACCTTTATTTGGGATTGACAAACTCTGCCGCCAATTTTTTGCAATATATTCCGGGATTGGAAAATACAATCTATACCTCACAGCTCCCTTTACAGTCTTGCTTCCTCAAAGGGGTTGTTTCGAGCTGTTTTCGTTCTATTGGGGGATTTTGTACCGCGCTCTCCAGTTGGGTATATGGAGGAAAGAGAAGGAGACGCTTTGACGAGTTAAAGAAATGGTGATTCGTTGTTAGGCATTTAGCCTAATGTCCGACCTCCAGTGGCGATGACCTGGCTGCTGCTCCTCGGGATGAGAGCGGGCCGAAGTGGTCCCGCTGAAGCGTACTCCGAACTACCTCCTGCGTGGACGACCATATCCTTTTGCGCATCGTCCCATGGTCCATCGCCTAGCACGGTTAGCCAGTTGGTTCCGACTTCTTGCTTCAAGGCTTCGAGCCGCTGACGATAGGAGTCCCCGTTAGCGCTCCAGTCAAAGCCTTGAATTGCAGGAAGTAGATTGGAACTCTTGGTGGGATCGAAGCCGGGACTCTTTTGTGATTCCTTGGGTCTAGGAACGGTAGTAGCAGTTGTTGCTTGTTGTGCCTCCGGTTCGCGTAATCTAGATGAGCTTAGAGGTTGCTCTGCCATAGATGCTGGGCTTGTGGCTAGATCTCCGGTAACGACTTGCTGGAAAGCAGGGCTGATGGTCTCAGCGCGGCCAGCTGCGTTGGCGACGGAAAAATCATTGAGTGAAAGCTCAACAATTTTTCGCCTGTGGCCTTTCTTCCGCCGACTAGAGCCTACTGTATACTCAGGCTGAACAGCAGCCGCAGGGACTGATGTTTCTGATCGGACGGCAGGGGTAATTGAGGAGGCAGTGGGAGTGTCTGCGGTTTTATCCGCTAGATCATCCTCTTGTTCAGAACGCCGAATAATGGGGGCCCCTTCTGGTTCTGCTACACGTGCAACAAGCTGTTTCTTCTCTGAATATCCAGGTCCTGTTGTATCGATAGTGATGTCTTCAGAGAATCCGGGTGTTTGTCTGAAAAGGTTAAATATGGAAACCCGGTATCCGGAAAATGTTTTGGTAAACGGATTGCCAGATACCCAGATTTCACGTAAGTAGGGGATGCCCGTTAGCCGGGCAATTTCGGAAGGGTCACTCAGTTCATTGTCTCGTAAATCTAGGCGTTCCAGAGATAACAATCGCTCAATGCCTGCCAAGGATCGTAGACGATTTCCTCGAAGATTAAGAGCGGTGATGGCAGGTAAGGGGTTCTTAGAAAGGGAATGGAGCGAGTGGATCAAGCAGTGAGATAGATTCAAAGATCTCAAAGCTGTCAAGGAGGACAAACTGTCGGGAACTTCGGTAAAAAGATTCCAAGACAAATCTAGTGAATGTAGTGTATTGGTAACAGGAGCAAGACTAGAAACGCTGATACTAGTCATGGAGTTGTCTGTCAGGCTGAGATGACGGAGGAATTGCCACTTGGATAAAGGAATAGTACCTATACCTAATAGGTTTGACGTGCTTCCGCCCCTGTGGTGGGTGGAAGCCTCGCTAGAATTGGAGCTTCCAGATCCAGACCTCCTAATTTTGGATGCTGTTCCCCTGCGATGGGAGGGATGTTTGGCACTGGTAGGACGTGTGGGGGACACGCTGTCCGTCCGTTTATGTACCTTCCTGCTTTCAGAGCCACCTCTGACCATTAAGGCCCCTCCCTTTGGGCTGGAACTTGTGCTAAAACTGGGCTCGGCAACGGGAGAGCCTGGGGCTGAAGCAGATTTCGCCATATCTGGCTTATTGAATGGCTGAGGGGTTGAAGAAGCCCCGAGAACTGGAGAGTATTGATACTTGCCAGACCTCCGTCTCCGCTTGTCCATGTCATCTAGGACAATTCCAGTCAACAAGTCACCAGGATCGTCAATACTGGCGCGCTTCAGAGTAAGAGATCTTAGTTGGTCTGATAAGCGGTCCCAGCCATAGAAGGAGCGGAAATCTACATCGATAATCTCCAAAGCACTGAGATTTTTAAAAGAGTGGAGTGGGACAGCAGTGTCGAAAGGGAATTCCTCGTATCCACGAATCAGGCGAGCTCTGTGATCCGGGGCAAGCCTCAAACACGGGATTTTAGTAAAGGCGGAATACAAGTATTTTAGGTCATTTTCAATTGCTAGTTTGGCTTTTTCCGATTTGGAGGAAGAGTTGGACCCAAGGCCAAATGAGGACCAGAGCGAGCTCATGCCAGACATGACACTGCGGACACTAGACACAGAATGGATGGAATCCCTGTCGCCCTTTGAGCGGCGTGGCTTGCTCAAAAAAGACACATATGCGGAAGATGCCTCTGTATTGATATTTTCCAGACGGATGTTCATGGGTCCAACAGGAACTGATATATCCTCGAACCGGGATAATAGGTAGAAAAGGTGATGGCTAGTCAGAGTGAGCTTTGCAGGTTTAACGCTATGGGATGTGAAACTCAGCGGCCCTAGGGAGAGCGCAGCGGCTAGTGTAGAAGAGGTAGCGGAACGGGCAGAAGAGTCTGATGCTTTGGAAGACTGACGCTTCATCTGCAAAGCGTTGGCGAGAGCTTTCTCATGAGTACGGACGAAGCTGGCCAGATTCTAGAAAGCACGTCCAACAAGTTAGCGACGTCACGTCCCGTCCCGCACTTGAGGGTGTCGGTGGTGTGGGAAGTTATATATAAAGCCAGACACTTACCTTAATGAAGAGCTGGCCATCTTCAGAGTTGAGTTTCTCCATTGTTGTGAGGAGCCGCTGCCCGAGGAGTTCTGGGTCCAGTCTAGCGGGAGCAGCAGGACTTGTTCATTGAGAGAACGAGGCTACATGTGAGTGCGAGGACATTTTGAGCGCACCCCAGAAGATGTAGTGTGTTTGGGAGTGTTCGTTTCTTGCGCGATGAGATAAGTTGGAGAAGTATATGCGGGAGTTCCAAGGCTATCAAAGAGAAGTAAGAGAAGGCTACCGCCGACAACAGATATACGTTTTGGGTGAGGCTCTAAACAAACACACTAAACAAACACAACAGCAAGCAGCAACAGCAACAACAACACCAACAACCACAACAACCACAACAGCAATCAGGACGTGTTTCAGTGTCTCTAAACCCTCGTACTATCCAAAGCTCAATCAAAGGTTCACTGAGAGAAATTGATTTGGAAGATTACGTAGTCAGTGGTGAAGTGGTCAAAAGGTCGCCGCGTCTGGTGGGATTCAATACGCAGGAGATGTAGGAGGTGTAGATTTTTTTTATTTTTTTTTTTCTA